GCAGCTATAGCGATGAAATTCGACTTAAACTTATTTTATAGAAACTTTAATATCATTGTAAAATTTTATACCGATCGGTCCATAATTTATCCTACCCCCATATACGGTTCCCTTCGGAAAATGGCTTTAACGCTCATTACTAACTAAAATCGTTATAGAAAATTTGACGAGGATCGGTCCATAATTACCAAACGTCCCCTCAGAAAATAACTTTAACGCTTTTTGCTACCTTAAAAATACAAGGACAGCGACAAAATTCGACAAAAATTTCCCTATACATAGATGTAATAAATGAGAAAATTGTTTTGATAATAACAAAAGCATCGATTCTTAAATATCAAAGTTTATTTATAAGGAAGCATTCCTTTTTGGCAATGATTTGATGGTGGGTATACAAGATTCGGCACAGCCGAATATAACACTCTTACTTGTTTCCATTAAATTTTTTTATTGTTCTTATTTAATATTTCATTAAAACTCCAATATTTTTTTACGAAAAAATCCCGATTTAGTTGTTTTTCGATCCAACCTAATCCAACAATAAAATAAACACTAAAATACTATGTACTTACATGGTTGATTCGCTAACGTTATGATATTTAATAAACGTTCTATTAATTCTGTTTTATAGCTTAAAGAACCATTGCCAGATTTCGATAGAACTTGATGAAACCAATCATTTTTAACACCTGCAATTTACACAAAACATTAGTTTGGTATTTTATTAAGCATACATATTAAAATAACAATAATTTTAACAAAATTTCGAATGAAGTTTAAAACAAAATGAATTTATTTAGTTAGATATAAAGCAAGTTAATTTACATACCATCTATAGAAGATAGATTATTTATTTTAAACATACAAAACAACAAGCAGCATGAATAGTTAAAGAAGGAAAAGGAAAATATGAAATTGTTACAAATGAATGATGGTTAAAAAGGTTTTACGTAATGAAACATTTCATACTATACCTCTATTAAAGCTCATGGCATATATTAAGCACAAGGCTAACAAGGCCAAATAATCATTTTCGGTACAATCTAATGCTGACATAACAGTGTCCAAAAATGGTCGATGTAAGGAGGAGGATAGAGAATTTGCTGCTGTTGGTGAGGTAAGTTGTTGTAATTTTTCTTTTTCCTCATCGGTGATATTGGCTAATTTGATATTGCTTATTAGTGTTGTTGTTTCGGAGTTTTCTAAAGCTTCTGTTGAACTGTGCACATCAGTTTCTTCTATAGGTTGTGTGGCCGTTGATGATGTTGTTAAATTATCTGCTACAATACCGCTTGAAGTGGAACTAGAGGCCACCAGACTTTCTTCGGTTGTTTCTTCACCATATGAATAACCTGAAGAGTTGGCTGCTGTATCTAAAGCTTGCTCTAAACTTTCACGTGGTTCGGTAAAACTGGGCACTACCGCCTCACGGTGTTCGACATAGGCATTTAATACCGCTGCCGCTCCCTCTTTAAATACAGTATTATCACCGTTCAGTATAACCCAAGCTAGGGCATGAACTAAAGGTGAATGTGTTACTACCAGAAATACAAGTGATAGCAAATATAATGCCACTATGGAAGATACACGAGGATTTTGCATTTCTTGTATATCGATATCAACATTACGATTTAAAACAGCTGCCAAATTTTGCGTGACCACTGCTAAGGAAGGTGGTGGCGGCGCGGGAGTCAATGAAAATATGTATAAGGGCACAAAGAGTTTGTGCAGTAAATGTTCGGTTAGAACAGCATTTAAATCGTTTATTTCCAGGAGGAGTATATCATTAAGATAATGTAGATGATCCAAATGTTCGGCGACTAAATTGGAAAGTTTTTGATTTGATTGGTGGCTGTAAATAAGAATTTAATTGACAATTGATATAATAAGAAAGTAAGTGAAAAAGTACTTACTCAATATCAGTGCGCACACATGTATCCAATTCCAATATATGTTTACCAATAAACCATACTAAATTACTGAAATAAGGAGCAGCCGTTCTAAAAGAAAAAATAAAATTTAGATATCTATGTATATATAAAAACATACATTTAAACAAACTTACTTGTCTCTTATAAAACGCAACATGCTAGCATTTTGTACTTTATAAACATTTAAGGAAATAGTACGTACAGCTATACGCACCATACTCTCAGGATGATTAAAAAACTTTATTGCTTCTGTATATAAAGGAAAATCATTTGTATGCTAAACAAAAAAACAGAAGCAAAATCAAAACAATTTCCAAAATGTTAAATACCAACTCCAACATACCTCGTTATAAAAGAAATGTATAGTATGGGTATTTAGTTTTAAGCTTAAAGTTTTCAAAAATAATATATAATAGCCCATAACATCTTCATCAGAGAAATCAAATTTATGCACTATAATCGAGTTGACATGATTATTGCTCAAAAGATAATCTAAACAAAGGAAAGGCATTCATAATTTTCTGCAGAACATTAATAATAATCTAAAAACATACACAATGAGGTTTCATTTCTTATATTTTCAAATAAAATATTTAATGTTTGCAATAGCTGTACACACACAAAACTAGAACCGCCACTCTTTTGACGCATTATATGCAAAAAATAGGACAGCATATTTTTCTCAAGGAAAAAACTACAAAGAAAGTTCAAATGTTTGCAGATAATGTATTATTAGTTGTAGTATAAACAAATGTTTTATTTTTTTTCGATTAACTTACTCAAATACTGAAGAATCATGTTGATCGCCCCATATAAGAATCTCTGCTATACAGCGTAATGATTCCACCAACAAGCCTCTATTGTTTTCAGATACCGTGGTATTCTTTTCTAGGATACTGTATAAATATTTCAGGTGATCGAGTGATAGACGATTTTTAGGTTTATTCCAACCTCCACCAAACCAGCTACGGCTTCGAAACATAATTTTCTAAAAATTCTTTAATAATGCGTTGTTTCCTTTTCTGTTAGAAGGGGTGTAAGTAAGTAAAAGCTGCACTTTGTTTTCTACTATGATTTGTCCCGCAGCACTTTATTATAGGGGTTTATTATCAAATTTTATTGTTGTTATTAAATAAATTGTTAATATCTGTATATTGTTATAAATTTCAGTAGTATTTTTTTATAAACTATTTTGTATATTTTAATTAATTTCTATTTGGGATACTTCTTTTTTTCTTCGCAGCAGCAGTGAAAAATTTATGTGAAACGTCAAGAAGAGCACAATAGAAGAACGAACAGCTGATTGTCATATAGAAGGTTGATTGTTGTCATTAGGGGGGGGAGGAGCATGTTTGTTTAAAGAAAATATTTTTTGTTTGGCAACGCGAGTTAAATTTGTAAGGCAGTAAACATTTTAAATTGTTATATGTTATTTCTGATTCGATTTTAACGTTTGATATATCATTTGAAAGATAATATTCTGTAGAATATGTTAACATTTTAAAAATTTCAAGATGAATTTTAAAAATGTCAATATTTATGTAAAATTGATAAAAATATTAATTGTAATGAATTGTGTTATAGTAATTATATATCTGATTCGATTTTAACCTGTTATACATTATTAAAAAGATAACATTCTGTAGAAGTTGTAAACTTTTAAAGCATTCCAAAATGATTTTAATAATTGTAATATTTAACTTTTTGCTACTTTTCCGTTATTATTTTATATATACATATATATACATATAAATATTGATATATATATATATATATATATATATATACATATAAATATTGAATCTAAAATTATAAAATCAGATTTCATCAAAGGGGACTTTTTTGGATCCGGATGGTATAAAAATCTATAAGAGTGAACTTTCTGCTACTTTTAGTTCTACCATACGTCTAATAGAATTATTAAAGATTTGTATACCGAAGATATCTGGAGGGGTCTTCAGAAAGTTCTTTTCAACAAACATAAGGACATCGCTGAAATAACTATCTATAAGGATTCAGATTCCCATAGCAGACACGGAAGAAAAACTGCCGAGGAAAACAAGAGTATTTCTGGCACATCTAAGATTGGGATGGAGCAACAATCTCAATGTCTACTGGTTACGTATAGATTGTGACGTCCCAAACGAATGTGCTGGTCAGGGTCCTCATGACACCCACCACATATTCAACTGCTTAGAAAACCCTACTTCACTCTGTCCAATAGATTTATGGATGCATCCAGTTGAAGTAGCCCAATTTTTAGGCCTGGACATTGATGTATAACCCCCACCTAGATTATTGTTTCAACAACATAAGTATTCAGAATAATGAAAATTACAAATAGAATGACAAACCCTTCCCACAAAGTTAAAAGGTGTAATAAAACGTTTCTAAATAGCCCGCCCATCTTCAATGGATGCTGGGAACTATGTATTAAAATCATAAAAGACTTCTCCCCATTAAAACAAGTTTAAATATTTTATTTTTTTTAATTTCTTTTATTAATTTTTTTGTTTACCAAATTTCAAATTTGTAAAATACATTTTGTAAGATGGTTTTTTTAAAAGTTTTTTTTTTCTTTGATGTGTAATTGTTTTATAAATAAAATTTAATTAAATGAAAATATATTAACTATTAATAGATAAATAATAAATATGTATGTAAGATAAATATGTACACAAAAAAATTAATATTTTGAATTAATTATTCATACATACACAAAGATGTATGTTAACAGTTATAGTTTATAATGTAACATTTTTACTTTGCATTTATTATAAGACATATTTATTTATTATTAGTAATAATTAGCCAGGTTTATATGTTCATTATCACAGGCAATAGGACATTGTATTTACTATTATTATTATTATTATGAGTAGTGTTTGTATTATTTTATGGGAATTTTAAAGATCCTATTGTATGGATGATTAAATTAATTGCTATGATTCTGTAGTTGTTTATTTGTTGTTGTGGTTGCCAAGGTACATATTAATTGAAAAATATTATGAAACTCGTTTATATTAGCTTTCGTTAGAAAATGTGTTATGAAAATTGCCTCTTTTTTTAAACAATCTTTCATATGAACTTAAGAAAACATCAATTTTAATTGGACAAATTGTTACTGAAAATAAAAAAGTGAAAAAAAAAAAACATAAAATAAAACAAATAAATAAAAAATAAAAAAAAATATATATAAAAAATTAACATAACTAATGATCGAAAGGAGAAGCAAACAAAAAAAATTCTTATTTCATATTATTACTTTACAATTGTACTAATTAAATTATTGTTATTTTTTTTTATTAAAAAATGATTATTACTCTTCTTTTGTGCTTTTGTTGAAGTATTGGTTGTACATGGTATAACCCAAACCCGCTGTAAGACAAGCGACTACTGTTCCTTGGGCTGCCACACGCAATTGCATTAAAAATACACTTGTGCTCATGGTGCCACGATGTTTATATTTGTAGGCACCAATAGCGGCAGCGGCAACAAAACCAGCCAAACCTGTAATTAAAGAAAAAAATTAAAGTTAAATATTGAAAAATTATAACAAATTTCATTAACAATGAAGTTTGTAATTCCCCTTAGTATATGTGACCTTTGCAATTTTTATACCCTACACCACTTTAGTGGGGAGGGTATATTGGATTTGTGCTGATGTTTGTAACATACAAAAATATTCGTCCTAGACCCACCTTAAAGTATACCAATCGGCTTAGAATCGTTTTCTGAGTCGATTAAGCTATGTCCGTCCGTCCGTCCGTCTGGCTGGCTGGCTGTCCATGTAAACCTTGTGCGCAAGGTACAGGTCGGAATTTTCAAGATAATTGGATGAAATTTGGCATGCACGTTTTATTTGACGAAGCCTATTGAAAATGGTTAAGATCGGTCCATTATTTCACCTAGCCCCCATAGAACAGAACCCCCCGAAAAGGGCTTCTGAGCTCATAATTATGTTAAATATACAGATATATCGATAATATACGGCGCAACTAAGTTTTATAGAAGTCTTGATGACCCTGCCAAATTTCATAAAGATCGGGCCCCATTTGACCCTAGCTCCCATACAAAGTCCCCTTCAGAAAATTACTTGAATGTCCCAAATTAACTTATAAACACAAATATCGCGATGAAATTCAGCACAATAAAATATTATGTAAATATAAATATATTCACAAAATGTTATCGGGCTCGGTCCATATTTGCCCCTAGCCCCCATATAAAGCCTCTTTCAGAAAATTAGTTTTTCATCCATAAATTGCTTAAATGTATCGGAACAAGGGAATATTGAAGATAAATGCTTTATTATGAAAAATAAATCACATTTAATATTCATAACTGGTGTAGGGTAGGGCCATGCCCGACTATAGTTTCTTACTTGTTAAAATTTCAAACAAATTTCATTAACAATGAAGTTTGTAAATCATCCAGCAGGTGTGACTTTTATTAAAACACATTATTACTAAATATATTTAATTGTAAAATCCTTTTAGAGTAAATTTAAAATATTTATTTTTGCAACTAAAAATTTATAAATTTGTCTTAGTTAATTGGGAATACAGTTATTGCTTTCAAATTGTTTGTTTGCGGAAATAAGCTGTTGATTCATAAAAACTACTAAAAAAAGCTTTTATCTTATTTTTAAATTTAGACAAACATTGTTGTTTTTTTGCACTGTTTAATCTATTTTAATGTTGTGATTGAAAAAAAAAAAAAAAAACACAAATATTCTCTGAAACAATTTCATTAACCAATGTTTGATAAATAACAACACATTTTAGATTAAAAGTAAATAAATTAATTTGTAGGCAAATAATTGGTAATAAGTTGTCACTAAAGTAAAATTATATCATATAATATTGATTACATAATAACAAAAAAATGGTCATTATTTCAACAAGTTGTTAAAAAGAAAAATAATTATCTTTTTTGTTTTTTTTTTTTTTTTGATTTAAAGTTTTTAGATTAATAATAAACAATAGATGGTTTGTTAGATAAATGGATGAGTTTGGAATTTATAATTAGTTTTCTTTTATATTTATTTTGTTAATAAAGACGCTCGTGTAGAATTTAATAGCTATATAATTAATAATTAATGGAAAGTTTTAAAATGATTCAGTGTGAAAGAAAGAGGACGGGAAGTATGAATGAAAGATATTTTGCAAATATTACGCACATTTCATTAGCGAGTAAAAGAATTTTTGTTTAGTAATTGATTACTGATTGAAACCACAAATCATTGAGATTAATTATAAAGCAGAAATGTGTTTTAATTTCTAAGAACACTTGGTGGGAAATAATTATGAAAAATTAACAAAAAATTTTTTTTGAATTTTTTTCTAAATTTTAGAAAATTTATTATTTAATATTGAAATTTACTTTTTTAACTCAACATAGCATAGCATCTGAAATATAGCCAAAATTCTTGAAAAATCTAATTTTTTCTGAACCGATTTGGTGATTTCATATACTTTATTATTGGGGTCTTTAGAAATTTGTTTTTGTGCCACGCCTCTTGTGGTAAAACCTTTGTAAAGTTCAACTTCTACTTAACACAGACAAACAACAAGTGCACCGATTTACATGAAACTTGTGATGCACACTATTTTTATCTGGAAGAAATTATAGAAAATAAGTATAAGGTCTAGATTATATGACACACCTCTTTCTACGCCCTCTTACTTGGCTCAATAAAGATATATTTTTTCAAATTTTCCTAAGGTTTCTTCAAAATCACAAACTGTACCTTGTTTATTTAAGATTTTATGGGTTTTAGGCAAACATTATTGGATGGATAAACAACCTCCATACTATAGTGAATATAAAAATCTAATAACCACTATTACTTGTCAATTGTTGTTCTCTTTATCTGGAAGAAATTATAGAAAATAAGTATAAGGTCTAGATTATATGACACACCTCTTTCTACGCCCTCTTACTTGGCTCAATAAAGATATATTTTTTCAAATTTTCCTAAGGTTTCTTCAAAATCACAAACTGTACCTTGTTTATTTAAGATTTTATGGGTTTTAGGCAAACATTATTGGATGGATAAACAACCTCCATACTATAGTGAATATAAAAATCTAATAACCACTATTACTTGTCAATTGTTGTTCTCTTTATCTGGAAGAAATTATAGAAAATAAGTATAAGGTCTAGATTATATGACACACCTCTTTCTACGCCCTCTTACTTGGCTCAATAAAGATATATTTTTTCAAATTTTCCTAAGGTTTCTTCAAAATCACAAACTGTACCTTGTTTATTTAAGATTTTATGGGTTTTAGGCAAACATTATTGGATGGATAAACAACCTCCATACTATAGTGAATATAAAAATCTAATAACCACTATTACTTGTCAATTGTTGTTCTCTTAAAGCAGTGTAATCAAGTAAAAATAAGTTTTGCTTAAAATAGTAATTTCACAACAAAGTGTTTCTCTTTAAAATCTAGTTTTTCTTTTGCTCGTATTTCTTTTATTTACTTATTTGTAAAATAAATAAAAATACACTTTAAAGAGAGTAGTTTTTGTTTATTCTGCGCACATAAATTAAAAGTTTATTTCCAAGAAAAAAAAAAAAAACATATTAACAAAAAACAATGACAAAGCAAAAAAATTACAAAAAAAAATATTAATAAAAACAAATTCGCGTGTTTCTACAAACAAACAGGTTCCATAGTTTTAGTATGATTGATTAATGCTAATAAAACTGCAAATTTTAAATTAAGACAAATAAAATTATTAAGAAATGACCTAATATTTTAATAAAAACATCTTAAAAATGAAATTCTAGCAGCAGCAAAAGAAAATGTTTTCTTTTACAGGTAGCTTAATGTAAATTTTTTGGAAAACTACCTGGATAAAGATTAACTTTTAAAAAACCTGTTTGATTCATCCCTTGAATAAGTTAAAAATTTGTTAATGATTTAACTCAGTAAAAACATCTTAAATTTTTTCTTTAGCTCCTTTCTTTGATTGAAATGTGTTTTTCTCACTTCAAGTTAATCATGTCAATCATGCTCAAACTCAACATAATAAAAAGCATGATGAAATTTTGCATCAAACATGCGCAAATAATTATTTATTGTTTGCGTGTGTTTTAAAATGATTTGTTTTCTAATTTCTAGCACGTTTCGATTTTTTTTTTGGAATAAAATTTTGAACATTTGAATTGCTAATATGGAATAGTTAAATTTTCCTCTTAAAGGACAGTTATTTATAATGATAACTAGTACACGTGTCTGAGTTTTATGCTAAAAAGTTTTGTGTGTTAAATTTTAAGTGGGTGTACTAAAAAATTTTAATATTTGTTAGTAATTAATTTGTAATAATGAAGTTAATAGTCTATATTAGATTTTGGCTAGAAAGATATCCTTCTCTTTAGGATAAATTATTGTAAAATAATAATTTTACATAGTTTTTTTCAACATTTTATAATCTTTTCAAATACGAACTGCATTCAAAACGCTCTATTCCAAATTCTCTTAACATATGAGTAAAATTACCAAAAACACATATTTTGATCATATTTCTTCGATGTGTTTAAAACATATAATGCTTTTCCTACACGTAATATCAAAGGAAAGGACTTTCGAATATCTTTCTTTTGATATACATATTACCTAGTAATGGAACATAGCACTTGAAATATATTTAATATTCTGGAAAAATATTGATTATTTTCCGTAATCTTATCCTCCAATACACTATATTTTTTTATATTATTAACTCATCTGTTGACTAGTACATGAACTATAGTATTGAATATTCTCTTGACTAGTCTACTGATTATTAAGCATTAAAATTGAATATAATATTAACTAATGTAGTGTATTGTTCAGTATCTGGATATTGTATTGACTAGTCTCTGGTCCAGTCTAAACGATTACAATGTATGTATTATAATAAGCATATCCTTAGGGGTATGTGGTATTTTTCAATGTCATTTTTCAATCCTAGCTATTGCAAATTTATGAACTTATTTATTTTTAAGAGAATTTTTAAAAGGTACCTATACAAAAGAAAAATACTTTCACACATTTTCTATTAAAAACGTTCACACATTCTGTTATTATTATATTCCACAAGTTTTTTTGTTTTTATTTTTTGACAAGTGACCTTCTATTTTCTTATTTTGCAAAAATTAGTTTGAAAATTTTCCGTAAAAGATGTTCGAACAACAAAATATTTTAATAGGCCTATTAGTCAATAGCTAGACAGAATCTACATATACATACATACATATAATCCATAATGGCGTAAAAAGTTATTTAATACCTATAGGTAGGCTTCTAATAAAAACAAAATGATAATTTCTAGATAGGAAGTAAATATTACATCCTACTAGAGTTCTATTAACACATTAATTTGTTGTTAATAATAATAGGTACTAACTAAAAATCTATATAGGTACCTACATATGTAAGTATGTACATATACCTATCCCACATCAAATACTAAATATTGATTTTACGCATTTTAATATAAAATCATCAAAAAAGCTTTTCAACTCTCATTAACACAGTCAGTAATTATAATTAAACAATATATAATTAAATATTTTTTTTCTCAAAAAAATTTGAAAATTTTGAACGCAATATAACTCAAAGGTTACATCATACATAGTATTATTGTTGTCGTTGTTAGATGTGTGCGAATTTTTTTTCTTTTTGTTAATATACTTCAATTTTAACTCACTGACAGACAAAATATCAAAATAAATAATAGCAGAGAATAAAATAAAGAATAAATGCAGAGTGGAAACGTACACAAAAAAGAAAATGTTCATTATTAGATAACAATTTGTTAATAATACATAATCATAATAAATATAATTTTCCCACAAAAAAACTAAATTATTTTTGATTAAATCAAATTTTTGCAACTTAGTCTAGCGCAGGTCCCACTGAAGGTCGTGGTCATGAATGAGTTTTTTCAACCTCTATCACAAGTTTTTTTGTATTTTCTATATAATTTCCTTTATTTTTTGTTCAAAACATATGCTTGCTAAATAATTTTTTGTTAAACTAACAACAAAAAAAAAACCCATTAACCAATTGGTCATGAGAAGTAGAGAGCAAAACACATGTATCGTAAAAAATTTGTGATGTCACAAGTTTTTTTCCGTCTCTGCAAAATTTTGTTTGACGTTATATTTTTTCTATTCTTTTTTGCAAAACAATTACGGAAGCGTGTACGACGCATTGTATGGCTAATCATATCTCAAAATTTGTCCAAATTTAACTTAGCAACAAATATTAAGAAAATAACACTTACCCACTACCATAAAGGGTGAATCCTTTGCCTTTTTGGCCAATTTGCCACCTTCATCACCAGGTTGTTCGAAGTATGATTTGCCGGCACTCATTTTTGTATATGTTGTAAAGTTTATTTAGTATATGTAATAAAATAATAACACTCTTTTTTGGGGAATATATTCCTGTACTTTTTAAATTTATCGCTCTCTGTGGTGTTACTCAAACTTAAATTTAAATGTTTAGTAACTCGCTTTTATAATAAAACTAAACCGAAAACCAGACATCTCAATCAGAGCCCTGTGCTGACAAATATTAACGGCGGCGTCGACTGACACCAAATATGTCGGCGGCGGCTTAAAATCGACTGTAAAGGCTCAGTTCAAGGCGAATTCAGATAAGGTGGTGTTATTCAATCAGCAAATTAAGTTTTACTTAACTTCAGGCACTCAATTAAAAATTTTGCAAATTAATCTGCCGGAATAGAATTTTTCGTTTGAAACAAACATTATTCAATTCAGAATATATTTTCCTCACAAATTTTAATATCTTTATTTAGAAAATAGAAAAACAATTGTCAAATAAATTATTTCAAATAATTTATTTGTTTAAAAAGTACATTGAAAACAAAGAATGTTTGAAATTTTTTATTTATTGAAAGAGAAATTTAGTTTTTTCTGTTCCCGTACTTTTTACAAGTACGAAGAGAAAATTCATTAATTCTCTTTAGCTAGAAAAGTTCTGGAACAAAGCTAAAATATGTTTATTTTTCTGAATTCTCATTTATACTTTCTCTAAAAAACTCTTAAAAGTGTGAGTGATAAAAATGACATATATTCATCAAGACAACTGTAATAGGCGTCACAGCAGTATTACATTGTACACCATTACAATTGGAACTATTTGTTTCTTTTCCGTACAGGTTGAACCAAAATTCAACGAACTCATCATAGTCCAAATTCAATGGTAGCAAAACATTTCTTTTCTCCAGGTTGATTTAATATGATTAACCTTAGAATCCAATACACAAACGCCATCATAACCACACGAAATTTTTTAACAAATTCTCGCATTATTGTTGTCTTGTGCAGGCCCTTAATGTACATACATACAGATATTAGAATACATCCCATCATCAAGGGCCGCTTTAATGATAGACCAAAAATTTGAGATTTATATAATGCATACTAAGATGATCTTTGCTATTAATTGCGATTGTGATGAACCAATTGACATTTCCTCATTTCTTCTAAAGTTATTTCTCCATTCTTGATGTTACAGATGCAAGTACATCAAGTGATCGGAAGGAATACCTTCAGTTTTTTCTTTTATAAATGATTCATATAGTGTGACAACTCTAGGGGATCTAAAGTCGACATAAAGCCCACAGCGGTTAGTACCGGATCCAAGCATTGCAATTATGTAAATAACAAACACAAATATTTTGCCCAAACAACTTCTATATAAGACGACAGCCTAGCCAGGTTATATCCTCTAGGTCCGTGAAGACATTCTCTACAGCAGTGCGATAAATTTGTATAAAAGGCGGCTTAACAATTGTTTCTTGTAAATATTCGGCCACCATAGTGTTTGGAGACAACAAGAGCATGACATAAACGAAAACAAACCCCGCCTGGAAAAACATTTTCATCATAGTTATTAACAATTTAACTAAATTAAACCCAACACTTGCCTGTTTCTTTGCACAATGACCCTCGGTATAGTAGATTTTTTTTGCAATAAAAAAAAGCTGAAAGCAGTTTGGCGCGAAAAATTCTTGCAGAATTTTTTTTCGCAGTCGGCAGAATTGACATCAACTGCACTTCCCATTTAAAATACACATGTTTGATATCCTAGCCTTTTACGGTATGACACACCAGCAATGTAAAAAGGTGTAGCTCCGTTGACGTCAACTAAGCTGGTTTGAAGTAAAAGCAGCGACTCGAATTAGGCGCGAAAACACGAAATTGTCTGAGGCGAAGCAATATGCTTTGAACGTTGAGCAAAGTTATACACCGGCCAAATTTCAATGAGCGGCATATTTTTATATAAATAAATCTTGCTTAAATGAAAACAAATTAATTTTATATTGTAAAATTCCATAAATTTAGCGAAAATGTCCTGTATATTGTACAAAACATGGCGAAAATTTCAAGCCTACGGCTGAAAAATTTTCGACGGCGGCGGTTTTTACATTTTGTTTGGCGGCTAAGCTGATCTCTATTCGTCCAAGGTATATTAATTATAAGGTAGTGTTAAGATAACAGCTGATTGTTTTCTGATAATACACTTTTATTTTTTTATCTATTGAGTTTGACACCGTGCTAGCACATTTAGCAGTATGCATACTGTCTAACTTCATATATAAAAAATAAAATGAATACGCCGACGAGGACCACCTTATATTTGATTATATCTCGGACGTGTAGGAATTATTTTTTTCGTATTTTGTTTAATACACACAGCTAGAAGAAACGGCCAGCCCAAAACACAATTTTAAATTGCGCCATCTATGTTTCATTTCAAATTTAAATGCATGCTTATCAAAGACACTTTTTATGAGATAATTTTCCACTGACTACCAGATGACGCAAGACATACAAGAGAATAATACGCAGATGGCACAGTAGGTGAGACCTGCCATTAACGAACACTAACTAACAAAACAAACGAACTACGACGAACTAATAACAAACTAACTAACTACACAACGAACACCTAACTAACAACTAACGAACTAACAACGAACTAACCAACTAACTAACTAACTAACGAACAACTAACTAACTAACTACTAACTAACTCAACAACTACTAACTAATAACTAACTAACTAACTAACTAACTAACTAACTAACTAACTAACTAACTAACTAACTAACTAACTACTAACTAACTAACTAACTAACTAACTAACTAACTAACTAACTAACTAACTAACTAACTAACTAACTAACTAACTAACTAACTAACTAACTAACTAACTAACTAACTAACTAACTAACTAACTAACTAACTAACTAACTAACTAACTAACTAACTAACTAACTAACTAACTACTAACTAACTAACTAACTAACTAACTAACTAACTAACTAACTAACTAACTAACTAACTAACTAACTAACTACTAACTAACTAACTAACTAACTAACTAACTAACTAACTAACTAACTACTAACTAACTAACTAACTAACTACTAACTAACTAACTAACTAACTAACTAACTAACTAACTAACTAACTAACTAACTAACTAACTAACTAACTAACTAACTAACTAACTAACTAACTAACTAACTAACTAACTAACTAACTAACTAACTAACTAACTAACTAACTAACTAACTAACTAACTAACTAACTAACTAACTAACTAACTAACTAACTAACTAACTAACTAACTAACTACTAACTAACTAACTAACTAACTAACTAACTAACTAACTAACTAACTAACTAACTAACTAACTAACTACTAACTAACTAACTAACTAACTAACTAACTAACTAACTAACTAACTAACTAACTAACTAACTAACTAACTAACTACTAACTAACTAACTAACTAACTAATTAACTATATTTTTAAAAAACAACATTTTATCTTGATCATAAAATGCTATTGCTGAGGTAAATCCACATACAAACAAGACGAAAGTAAAACTTTAACTTTTAAGTACATATTCACGTCTTTACATTTTGTTTGCGCCAGTAACCCATTAAAAACAAAGGATATACATATGTAAGACCAAAATAAACTTGCTCTTTACATAATTTATTAAATTAAAAGAAAAATCAAATAAATAATGTTTCAAAAAATCGTACGGGAAGAAGAAAAGAAGTAAGTTTACCTCTTAGTGTGAGGCAGAAGAAAATTATAAGTTTGCTTATTTTTAAGGCAAAATATAAAGAATAATAAATTAGTAACTAGAAGAGTAATGGAAAGAGGAAACTACTTTTTACACTATTTTTTGTGAATTGAATTTAATTTTATTTTATATGTATGGTCAGTTGTATAAAGAAAATGGTAAAAAATTGTGTTTAAAACAGTAGACTTAGATTATAATGAAGTGAACTTTATAGGCAATATTTTTGTTTAAAAATATTTTATACTAATTAGTAGGTTTTTAGAGAAACTCTTTACAGATTTGGTTAAACTGATTTTACTATTATCAATGTTAATTATTTTTTATAGATTTTGTAAAACTCCAACTTTTTCTTCCATTAATTTGTTTGTTTTATTTTAAGGCAACTCTTCAACATCTATGTGTTTTTTTTTTTTTTGTCTTTCTTAAACAATTCTATAAGTCTATTTTTTGTATGTGTCTTTTTATTTTCGTTTTATATCCTTTACCGTTATAACTTCTTTATAACTTTTTAGTGTGGCTTTTTATTTACTTAATTTTGGACTTTTTAAGTCACTATTTTAAAATAGAAATATATAGTTAAGAGAGAAAGTTGAAAAGTAGAAGTATGGACCAAAATGAAACTAAAAAAAGGACAAAAGACTTTCAAGTGCATTTTATTACTTTTAGGCTTGTTATATAGTACATACTTTTAAGGCTTTAAGTAATAGAAAACTTTTTAGCATTTCCTTTTCAAAAAGCAGAAGAAAAAAACCTAATTCTGGTTCTCCTCCTTTTAAAGGACCTTATATGAATTAGTTGAGGGGATAATATGAGTTATTTAGTTTTTTGTGTTTCCAACTCAATATTTTAAAGGTTTTAATCATAAGCTTATTGATATGCCTTTTAATTATCTGTGGACTAGTCTGTTGATTAGGTTGTGGAATTTACTTTTCACTAGTCTATGAACTAGCTTATTGACTAGTCTGTTGATTAGTCTTTGGACTGGTCTGTTGACAAGTCTATGAACCAGTATGATGACAGTCTATGAACTAGTCTTTTCAGCAGTTTGTGGACTAGCCTAATGATCAGTCTGTGAACTAGTCTTTTGACTTGTCTATATACTTTTCAGTATTGGCTAATCTGTGGACTAGTCATCAACTCATCTATAGACTAACCCAGGAAGACAACTTTGGCGGCTCACCTACTGTATTCCATTTCACTTATAAAGACCAAAAAATTCTAAATAAACTCGAAAAATACTCAGATCTGACAATGTGAAATATCTTTACGATATCTCTAATAGTTTAGAAAATAAAAACAAAAAACATGTGCATTTTGCTAGTAAATTTTTAACTGGCAACTCTGTACGTATTAGTAATATGTAAAGCTACTATTTAAAATAATACGTATACGCTAAGTGCCATCTCACTTTATTTGGTGTTATTAGTTATTTCATAAAATGTAGCA